ATGCTGAGCATGTTCGGCCGACCCGAAGCCATGTGAAGCAAGCCGATGTACGGCTGATTTCAGCCAATGTACGGCTGAAATCAGCCGTACCAGCCTGAAGTGAATAGCTGAACAGTGTTCGGCTCACTTCACTTCAGGTCGGTCATTCACTCGGCTGCCTAAGGCAGCTTAGTGAATAGACCCCATAGTTGAATGGCATGCCTCTCTATGTAGTGTTCTGCAAAAGGGCAGGTTGAGGGGAGTCCTTTGATGCCCAGGAAGCTAACATCGTTAACTCATTGTTTCAGCAGGCCCTATAGGCAGGGTTCCAGCTTGAGATATGACGGTGGGTCTGGTATATGCAAGATCGCTGGTGGCTGTTGTAACAAGCAGGCACACGCACTTTCTATGGTGTCATGTATGGGTCAGTAAGATTGATCATTACCCATGAATGATGAAGTAGCTACCTAAGAGCCCTCACGGGCAGGGCCCTCCTTACCATTTTGTGTTGATTTGTATTGTGATTGTAATGTCTTCCTTATATTGTAAAGCACTGCACAAACTTGGCGCTATATAAATCCTGTATAATAATAATAAGAGGCAGCAATTGTTCTGCGTTGTCCAGAATTGGTGTCACCAAGAATCTGTCCTGACTCTCATCTCCTTGAGCATGGTAGTTAGATCCTCTGCGGCACCACAAAAGCCATAGAAATTTATTTCAGAATTTCTTTAGCTTCCGTGGAGCTGAATTTCTTCTGTATGATTTCTCCACGTACCTGCCATTGTGGAGACTCACGCTGTTAAAGACTCATGCAGCAAGCAAAGTTCAACTGTCATATAAAATGAATGTGCCTCATCTTTGAGATGTCATCAAGGAGGGAGTTGTCATTGAAAACTACCTGTTGTGTGAGGTGACAAGTGGAGCGTCACTGTACTGTATACACTGAGTGGCCAGATTATTACGACCACCCCATCAGTACTTTGTTGGGCCACGAGATAACTCCACGAGATGACTTCGTTGGGCTGCCTCGTGACTCCATGAGATGTTGAAAGGTGATGCGAGGAATCTGACACTGAACTGTTGCCCTTCTGTTGTCTTGTACAAGTCTTGCCACTCTCCGTTCTGCCCTAACATTGACTAGTCGCTGACGGCCACAATTCGCACGTTCAGACCCAGATTTTCGGCTGACAGTCCAGTCTTTAAACACTTTAACAATGAGCCCCTCTTGAACATTTAACGAATTCTGCTGTTTTGCTGATACTCGCTTCATGACTCGCGCCAACAATCATCCCACATTTAAAGGCTGTTAAATCGCGTTGTTTACCCATATCTTTAGAAAAAAATCACTTCTACTGTCGTGGTAAACAACCTGCTTCCCTATTAATAATGGTCTGGCCCTCTAGCAACTTCAGCGCGAAATTATAGCTAATTATAGCTAATTTGCCTACAAACGTCAGGTGGTCATAATAAACTGGCCACTCAGTGTAAGTATAGATGCTCTCGTCCTTAGTGGCAATATTAACACTACATTGTAACGCAATGTAAATATATCTCAAGTTTGAGGCAGTGGCAATGTAGTAATACGTCTATACCTTTTTTTTGTTTAGCAGTATTATTTGTTTAGGAATATTAACTATGTGTATATACCCATAACCAATATGTTGGATACTGTTGAACCACCCATTTGTGTCCTTTTATTTCAGGAACAGCAGAGCAAAGGTCAACTTACTATGTATCCCTTCTTGTTAGATCCTTCTGCTTTTGCACCATCCATAGTGTCAAAATAAATCAAAACCACAGTAATAGTGAGGCCCAGCTGTAATGGTCGATCCATGTAGCTGACTCCAAGAACCTCCTCGCTGCTGAAGTCCCAGAGATCTGTATTTTTTCACTTTTTCAACCACTCTTCTGACTATCAAAAGTCATCTGCTGGGTCATCACTGGTGCTATTTTTAAAAATGCATCACTGCTCACATTCAGCTTGATTTGCAGATTTGTATTCATTACAGGGATCTAGGGAACTCCTGTTGTATCAAATGGACATCTGTTCATTGGAGATGATTAAGAATTTTCCAGGAGCAGTACACCCAATATTGATCACAGACACATTACTGCTACTCGTCATTCACAGACAAATACATTTGCCACCGTCACATTCAGAGTCATAAACTCCACGCATGTTGTCAACGAATATGCAGCAGATATGAACGCATCTAGGCAGGCAAATTTTGCCTGAATTCAATGCAGCTTTATAAAATGTAAATCAAATACCATGTGGTAGCGTTAATTAGCCCTTGTTCTGTGGTTTTGGTCAGTCACATCCTGACATCCTAAACTACGAAATGATGCAGACATCATTTTTTCCAAACCTTTTCAGTCAATATTTATTTATTTTTTATTTTCAATTATACCTCACATTTCTAATAGCATTAAAAGCATTTGAAAAAACAGAAGAAGGCTTTAAAACTCTAGGAAAATCATGGCTGAGGACTTCTTTATCCATATGCTATATTTCTTGCTTAGTAATGCTACTGAGAATGGTCTTGGCAAATCAGTCCTAAATACTTGTCTCCGTATATAAATTGTACATGTTTCTCAACTTTCTGGAATATTTTGTGCCAAAATATATTGCATCAGCGTGGTTTTCTTAGAAAATGTTAGACCATCTAAGGCTTTACTTTGATTTTGTGTACTTATTTTAGTTTAAGTCAATATTAATTTTGCCTTATAATATCACATTAAATTTGGCATATGCTCTGTATAGTTTTATATTCTGTCCAAGTTTAAACTTTCATATATTAATGTTAATATTTTGTTTTGGCTTAGGTCCTGCAGAAGTTCCAATGATGTCTCCAAATGGGTCCATCCCTCCAATACATGTGCCTCCTGGTTACATCTCACAGGTACAAGCACCCACTAACATTTGTAATGTCAAACTTCAGAAATTACATGGGGCGTAAAGTAAATATTGCAGTATGCCTTACATGGAGTTTTTTGGGTACACTTGAGTGGTTCTTGGCAGTACTAATTCGTCAGCACAGGTTGTCTTTAAAGTTAAACTCTAGGCCACCAGCTAAATACACAATTGAACTGTATATGAGCATGTCCAGTCAGTTCTGAGATTTACATAGCCCAGGCAGGCAGTGCAGCCAGGTTGGGGACTTTATTTTAATGCACTTAAGCAATGCAGATTAGTTACCTCTCTGCCCACAGTCTGTTAGACATAGGGGTCTATTCACTAAGCTGCCGAAGGCAGACGAGTGAATGACCGATCTGAAGTGAAGTGAGCCGAACACTGTTCGGCTATTCGCTGCAGGCTGGTACGGCTGATTTCAGCCGTACATCGGCTGAAATCAGCCGTACATCGGCTTGCTTCGGGTCGGCCGAACATGCTCAGCATGTTCGGCCGACCCGAAGTGCAGAAGGAGTTCGACTCAGCCGATCCAACATCTGGATCGGCTGAGCCGAACCTCCGGCAGGCTTCTCACTGCTGTTCGGGCTATTCTTAAAGATGCCGAACAGCAGTGAGTGAATAGCCGAATGCCGCTGAGGCCTCAGAGGGCAGAACAGAAAAAGAGTGAAAAAAGTAAAAAAAAGTAAATAGAAAACTAGCATTGTACCCGCCCTCTGCTGATGGACCTGATGGGGAACTGCTAAGTGTTTCTCTCCTTGGCGGCTGGGAGCAGGAGACTCCCGGGCCGCCAGGGAGAGTTAGCTGTTTCTAGATAAGTGTCCCTGTTTAGCAGGTAACCAGGGGCGCTGATCTCTCTGCAAGTGGCCGGAGCCAGCCGTAAGATCACGGCTGGCTCCGCCCAGCTGTCAGATGCACATGCGTTCGGCTCGGCTGAGCCGCTCGGCCATGATCGGGAGCTGTACGGGCTATTGTGAATAGCCCGTACAGCACCCCTTCGGTTCTACTGAACCCGAAGGGGTCCCGGGGCCGAAGCTAGCCGAAGGATTGGCCGAAGCTACGGCCAGATCCTTCGGCAGCTTCGTGAATAGACCCCATAGAAATAGCTGCAGCACACCAAAGTCATCCATCTCTTTTCTCCTTCTGTCAGCATGTCCTTGGTCAGCACATGTGCCCGTAACAGAGCCTGGCTCAGAGTATTGACCCTCCCTCTCCTTGTCCTATTGCTAATGTGTAAGAATTTCAGGACAGATTAGATATGTGATATACAGATTAGATCAGATACGTGATAAAGCATATCTAAATCTGAGTGCATAAATGTAGTATATACATTTTTTTCATGAGTTCATTGGGCCATTTCTAAACTATTAGGTGGGTGATATTGTGTGCCTCAGACAGCAGGAGGTGCTTCTACACCAATCAGCCATAACATTATGACCACCCGCCTAATATTAACCACCTCCCGTCCATGGCCGTTCCTGAACGGCCGGACGGGAGTCTGGTAGGAGCGGGAGGGCGTCTTAAGACGTCCTGCCCCTCCCCTCACTCATGCACGGCGCTCAGCGCGCACACAAGTGGGGAACTGTTAGCAATGTAAACAGCCATCGATGGCTGTTTACATTGAAGCGATCGGGCATCTCTAGAGACGCCCGATCGCTTGCAGTAGCTGCTGGTGTGCGCCCCCTCTATACCATTGTCGCCGCCGCCTCCTCGCTGCCGATCCCGAGATCCGCTGCGCCTGGTGCCGATTGTCAGTGGAGATCAAAGGGAGTTCAGTACACAATCTACCTTTGATCTCTTCTCGGTCCCCGAATGCAGGAAGTGATGTATAATACATTATTTCCTGCATTCAGTGTCGCTCTCCGGTTACAGATGTCGGTGAGAAGCTGATGAAGCAGATATCTGCTTCATCAGCTTCTCTGGGGTCCCTAGGTGACATGGGTCTTAGAGACCCCTGATGTCTCCATAAAGAGGACCTCTTATGTGAATTGGCTATCAAAGTCCCCCGCCAACGCGCGCAAGCGACGATTCCGTCTATTGTGCCGCAAGTGTTACCTATTGCTGCGAACGTCGGAATGAAAGCAATTTTAGGGCCATTAATTACTGATAGCATTAAACTGATGAGTGGTAAAAGCTTTTAAAGCGTCGCCTATGGCCAATTTTGGGTGTGGTTGCTTTCTGCAATTTCGCGGGTGCACCTAATTTTAAAGATTGACATGTTTGGGGTCTATTTACCCGACGTGACCCCGTATTTTATATTTTACCAAAAAATTGGGGGTCATAATAAATGTTTCATAACATTTCATATGGAAAAAGTTTTGTGTTTTTTTAAACAAAATTGAGGCTACTTTTTTTGTTATATAGTACAGTTGTGATTAAATACCACCAAAAGAAAGCTCTATCTGTCCCCACAAAAATGGTATAAAATTAATTTCAGTACAGCATTGCATGGCTCAATAAATGTCAGTCAAAGTACTGCAGCGCTGAATACTGAAAAATGGCCTGGTCTTCAAGTGGTTAAGTAGGTTCCCCTTTGCTGCCAAAACAGCCCTGACCCATCAAGCCATGGACTCCATCTGACCTCTGAAGGTATGCTGTGGTATCTGGCACCAAGCCACCAGTAGCAGACCCTTTAAGTCCTGTGAGTTGTGAGGTGGAACCTTCATAGATTGGACTTGTTTCTCCACATGAATGGCAGGACCTTAAGTTGCCCAGCAGAACATTGCCCAAAGCATCACACTACCTCCGCCAGCTTGCCTATTTAGCATAGTGCATCCTGATACCATCACTTTCTTAGGTAAGAGACACACATGCACCTGGCCACCCACATGATGTATAAGAAAGTGTGATCCCGTTCTAATGCTCATGTGCCCACTTTTGGCTGTGGAGCTGGGTCAGCATGGGTCCCCTGACTGGTCTGCAGCTATGTAGCCCCATGCCTAGCAAGCTACAATGCACTGTGTGTTTAGACACCTTTCTATGGAAACAAGTATTAACTTTTTCAGCAATTTGAGCTACATAGCTCTTTTAGTGGATCGAACTACACAGGCCTGCCTTCCCTCCCCACGTGCATCAATGAGCCATGGCTGTGCATGACCCTGATCCGGTTCACCGTTTTTTTTTCCTTGGACCACTTTTGGTACATCCTTACCACTGCAGACCAAAAACATCCCACAAGAGCTGCAGTTTTGGAGTTGCTCTGACTCATTCGTCTAGCCATCACAATTTGGACCTTGTCAAAGTCTCTCAATACTTTACGCTTGCCCATTTTGTTCTGCTTCCAACACATCAGCTTAAGGGACAAAAATGTTCACTTGCTGGCTAATAATAAGGGTTATTCACTTCACCTTTCAATGGCCATAATGTTATAGGTGATTGGTGTATATGCAAAGGGAGATTTTGATTGTTGGCAAGTTTCCTTGTAAGAGAGTCTCAACCTTCAATCAGAAAAAGTAGCGGAAGGATCCAAAGTACTGTGTGCCATTGTCGACATTGAAAGAAGATTGCTTGATACTTACCTAGTTTCATTCTCAAGGGAGATATCTGTCAGTCTGTGGCCAGCCATACACTGCATCTGTTAGTGGCTACAGAAAAGCTCTGGTAGGCTTGTTGGCTATGCCTTTGCTTCCTGTTATCAGCCTAACATTGCAATGTGTGGCTAGGTGTTTGTGAGAGTCGAGAAACAACACCTCTTCTGCAGGTGTGAATGGCAGAGAAATCTGTTATCCCTGCGTCAGGCTGTACTGGATCAAACCGAAGAATATATAATGATATATTTTCTTTCTGTTTTGCTGGCACCTCTAAGTACATTTTAATAGTTTCAGTAACATTTGGTTAATATTTTATGAAGATAAAATGCATTTATTCATGTTATTTACTGCCTGTAAATGAAATATGTGACTTGCATGCCTGGGTCATAACTGTCTGTAGTCATAGTAACTAATGGTGGCCTTTTAATTTTAAAAGCAAATCTATATATGGCATTTCCTTGTGTAAAGGTCTGGTTTGTTCAGACTGAAACATTATATAAATGCCTAACAATTAGTGTCAACATAAGCCTGTGGTAGTATATTGCAATCAGTCAGGTTTCAGTTTAGTGACTGGATCAACTGAGAAATTATGTTGCCATGTGTAATTGCACCTAGACATAGTTATACATTTTGAATTTCTTTAAAAAATATATATATTTCAGATTTTATTTTTCCAATACTATTTTTATAATACAAAGACACGCATTATCAAACATGTAATATACAGCTCAAAAACAGCCATTAGCGAGCCGTTCCAACAAACATTGGCACAGGTTGGAGATAAACATGTTTGAGCAAAAATAAGAAGAAACAAAAGGGGCTAAGCATTGACATTAGATCACATTATGATCCATCACAGTTATCCAGTGGACCCAAAGGGGGTCAAATGTCCACATATAATTTCGAAGGAAATATGTATGCTTCTAAAATGCAATAGACATACTTAATTCTTGTAGCCATTTCCCCTTTAAGAGGGGACATGGAGGAGACCCATTTTTTAGCTAAAATCCTGCGGGCAGTAAATATTAATCTATGAGCCAAAGATGCATATTTATTTTGCATTTCTTTAAGAAATATGTTTGTATGTCATCTCTTTTTTGTTATCCTTTTGTTTTTCTGAGTGATTTTTTGTGGGACTGTTTCCTTATTATTTTTCTTCTATAGGTTATAGAAGACAACACAGGAGTTCGACGTGTAGTGGTTACACCACAGTCCCCAGACTGTTACCCTCCCAGCTATCCATCCGCCATCTCTCCAACTCATCATTTACCTCCATACCTTGCACACCATCCGCATTTCCTACACAACTCACATAATCCGTTTTATCCGCCAGTCACAGGCCCGGGCGATATACCTCCACAGTTCTATCCACATCATCTTCCTCCCACAATCTATGGAGAGCAAGGTAAATTGTTTGGTTTTAAAATTAATTCTGTGCTGAAAATATATGTTTACAACACTTTTCTTTTAAACGAAGTGGTCCAAGTGTTAAAATGTTTATTTTACATAGAAAAGCATTTTTTTTTTTAAGTACCAGTTGTTGAGGCTGAATTCCCACCAATATACAATAAAGAGTGTACTTATATTTTAGTGGTATGGCTGTTTTTTTTTAAAGAAAAAATCACTGTAACATCATCAAAGGATTTCCAAATCACCTAGGATTTGTGGGAAGTAATGGGAGGGATCTGGAGTGCATCCTGTGTGTCCTCCTGTACACGCTGGACTGTAATCCAGACTACAACAGTCAAGAATCCTCTGCCTGCTAGCAGCCTGTATGCCGGATGTTGGGAGTAGCTAGTTTGGGCAGATGCACGGGCAGTGACAGGAGCAGAGAACTCCGCTGCCTCTGCTGCAGCATCTACAAGCACAGTATTGTGGGCAGCTTAGTCTAACTTCAGTCCTCTAATGCCCTGCATCCTCTGCAAATAGGAAACTGGTATCTGCAGATTATGGTATCTTCAGTGAAGCATAGCACATTAAGCTAGACCTAGAGAGAGAGAGGCAGGACAAGGAAAGCGGCATGTCTGAAGGACTGAAGCCTTGCCCACACCTGTTGGTGTCCTGAGATGCTAGACAAAATCCAATTGATCCCATCGCACTCCTTACCGGAAGATAGCCAATATACAGGGCTGGTGCAAGAGTAGCAGCAGATGCCTCTGCAAACAATGTACAAATAACGAAGAAGCCACTCGCACTCCAATTCGGTGTCCATTCAACTTGTTCTTTCGCTGAAGTGGTATAACATCAACTGATGAAGGAACCACTGGGTTCCGAAACGTTGCATTAAGATGTTATACCACTTCAGCGAATAAACGAGTTGAACGTACATCAAATTGCAGTGCGAGTGGCTTCTTCGTTATCTGAGATGCTAGACATCACAAAACTGCAGGAAATTGAGCTAACTGATAGTCATTTGGGCTTATTTAACAAGCTAGAGGTAGTTTCTATTAACCTATAGAAAACAAATGCATTCAGTATTTCATTGATCTGACTGCATAAACGGTAATAAAATTGGTAGTGTTGAGTCTGCACTTTAAGCTCACTAGATGTTTCCTACATATTAGGGTGTTCTCCACTGTGGTTATAACAGTATTCATTTTACTTAATTTAAGATTTCTGTAATTAACAGAAATCTGGGTTTGCAGTCCCCTTATTGCATCATATTCACTTCATATTAAAATGTAAAATTTGGCTAACCTATGGTTCCAGGCAGTATCTACAAATAACATGGCAGGCCCTCTTCTTAAATCCATAGTTGTTCAAGCTGTTTTGATAATTTGAAGATGTTAAAATAGTTTTCTTGTCTGGAATAGTCTCCTTGAAAGGCAGCAGTAAAGGGGGAAGATTGTTGATTGTTGGGAATACTCTATACATTCCCCTCACCACTAGCGTATGTAATCTGCCTATTTGCTTTGCTTTAATACTTGTTTGCCCCTTTTTGTCAAATAAGTTGTACACTTTATATTTCTCCAGTTGTGTACAGCTGTGAACTTGAATTTCAGCCCAAACATTTTTTTTCTATTTGGATATACTTGGAGGATTAGAACCTTTTCAGGTTTTATTGCTATTGCCCAATGTTCCCTTTGGGCTTCTATTTCAGTGACTACATAGGAAGTGGGGAAAATAGCCAAGTAAGACATAGCACTGAAAACTTAGTTGTAACAGTGGGTGAGGAGCATTGTAAATAAAAGTTCTTAAAAACTTCTGCGATGTTTTAATAGGAATTGTGTATGCAAAGATTAGCCGCCATGTTTCGGAGTTAAACCCTTACTTCAGGACTATAAGCTGGTGACAACACCAAATAGCACATAAACCATTAATAAGAAGTTGCCTAGATCAATGACTTGCGAAAAACTAGTCAAAGTAAATGGATCCAGGATCCCTGCATGAGTAGAGATCCCTGCATGAGTAGGTCCAGCACACCTTTGCACACATCCATACTGACCGCAATAAAAACCACACTGGTTTAACACAAAACCTCTCTAAAAAAAAAAAAAGATGTTTGGGAAAGAGTTTTACTTTGCACTCAGTGTTTACTTTCTGGCACTTGTTGATTGCCATCTATTAAGATCATATAACAAATCTGTTTCTTTTGTTCAGAAATAATACCACTGTTTGGGATGTCCAGTTATATTACACGAGAAGACCAGTACTGCAAGCCTCAGCACAAAAAGCTCAAACAGATCGACAGACAAAACCGTTTGAACAGTCCTCCATCCACTTTGTACAAAAGCCATATAGGAAACTGTATGACTGTATACAATGGCAATGGCAAAGCTTACAATGGAGCCAGCTGCGGAAGTGTTAACAGTGCAACAGGACTTAAAAAAACTGACCGCAGAGCAAGAAGCAGTCCAAAGTCAAATGAGCAAGAAACACAACAAGGTTTGTATGTTTGTCTCATTTACTTCTATAAGTTACAAAAATACTTTGCTGCTCAACTTTTAAAAACTTTTGTTTAATAAGACAAATGACAATACATGAATTCAGCAACCTTAGCAATCAATCAGATGTCTTATTTCGCTACTGCAGTAAATTGAGGGGAGGCAGGTGAGGCAGAGCCTCACCTAGAATTATGGAGGAAAAAGCTGTCAGCTTCATGTCTGAAGCTGACTTGCGCCCAGCATGTCCCGTCAGGGGCGGGACATGCTGGGCGCAAGGCTGGGGAATGCCTTACCCAGAGCAAGAGGTACCGCACGTCACTGCTGTGGTTGGGACAGGCCAAGCAGAAGCAATAAGGGTTCATTAAATCCACAGAGTAGCATGCCTGAAACGAACACCTTGATTATTTGGCTGAGCGCAGCTAGAACCTACTAAGGTCTAATTAATTCAATAATTGAATGTCATTAAATGTAGCAGTGCTATGATTATTCTCTTACCCAGTCAGATAAATATGAAGCAATATATGTGCATATAGGTGATGTCAATAAAACCACATTTCTTCTTTAATAACAACTTCAAAGACATACGTATCTGTAAAGTGCTACGTGCATTGCATAGGTGCTCCGAATAGCAATTCATTACCATCGACACAGTCTATAACGCTGGTCTTCCAATGCAGTGATCCCTTTATTATCCCACACACAAAACTTCTTCATGCTTCCCCAAATTCCTCAGGCTCACCAGATGGTATTGTCTTTTAACAGTAGAATAAACAAAGCTTTTCACATAATCATTCTGGGTTTCAGAAGCTTCAAGCTCAGCTTTCTAATGCATCCTTCCCTCATTTTTTTGTGGGCTGAGGTGCATTCCAGATCTTTCATTTTTAATTGGTTGTCTAACGCAGTGCACATGAATTAACAAAAACACATGCTGCAATGCATTGCATTTTGGTATGAATGGGCCCTGCGTGGGACTTTCAGATGCATGACAAAACAGTCAAAAGTCATAGCACACTTTAAGATCTATGCTTACAGGGTTTAGTGAACTATAAAGACAGGTTTGGAGGGTCTTTCTTGCTCCTGCACTAATGAGTGCTCCAAAATCATCAGCAGTGTGTTGTCCTCCTGGGTGACACATTACTTTAGTATGAATGACACCATATAAGTTCAAATGAGTTGATTGGCAGTTGCTGAATTATAAGGCGTTGGTGCAGTGGCCAATAAACCTTTGGTTCTAATGCAATGTTTTTTTGTTACATATGTACTAACACTTGATATGCGTAAAGGATCTATGGGTTTTCTAAAATCAAATAGTGAGAAGCAGAGATCCTTATTACTAACAGCCCAGAGCCCTGATGCAGGAATACCATAAGGCCTTTTGGTATAATGCTATCAAAGAAAGAAGGAGCCTCCTCCTAAGGAATGCAAATTTAGAAAGACATGCTCTATATACACTTTATGGAGTTTAATTGCTAAAGACAAATAGGCTGTTCACATTTCAGGGGAATATGCACTTGCAAGGGAGTTTTCCCTTAGCTCAGTAATTGAGGTGAAGCTCTTCCATCATTATCAGGGTTATTCACAAAAGGGTGAAGAGTTTGGAGAAGGCAGGAGAAGTGAACAATCTAGGGCAAAATAGTCGATTTGGAAATATTCTCCAATCCAGCTCACTTTCCAGTTCAACTATGTTGTCCTAGATTGTTCACTTCTCCTGCCTTCTCCAAACTCTTCACCCTTTTGTGAATAACCCTGTAAATCATGTGTAACCAAAAATCCTGTATTTTTTTCAATTTTCCTTGCATATGATTGGGTATTCTTTGCAAACGAAATTCTCACCTATTCACTAAGCTAAGGGAAACTTCACTTGCAAAGTGCAAATTCCCTTGCACTATTTGCCTTTATACCCCAGCCTATTTGCCTGTAGTAAATCAGCCCCAGTATATGTAGGGGATTTTTGTAGTGTACTAGCATAATCAAGACATCATATAGATTGTGTAGGTTGTAGCTCAAGGAATACTTACAGAATCAGCTTCTCAATCCATCCCTGACTACATTTTAGGTTTTAGTATCCAAAAGAAAATTGTGCTGTTGGCAATACCTATACAGACACTTGCTTTCATTTAGTAGCCTACAGAAGGAAAGTAACAATTGAAATCTGATTGACTGCTATAGGCAACACATTCAAAGCTTACAGAGGGAAGATAGGTGAGTCTCAAGCATTGTTTTTATAGTTATTATGTGCCCTAAAGCACTGAGCTACTCCTACATCTTATTGTGTTTGGGCTTTGTGCATAAGGTTGTTTGCCTATGTCGTATCATTGTGTAGGTGTGGTGCCTGCACATACATGCTAATGATTTTAATTCCCTTTAAATCCAGCCTGTATACTGGTTTTAGTCTGATTTATCTTTTTCTGACATTTCTTGGCAAGTGTCTGAATGTGCATGTTGTTGCATGCAGAAATACATTCCTATACTTGACCTACTTTAAAAAGAAAATATAGACATACTTGCTTAAAAAAAAAAGAAAATATAAAAAATTTAACACATAATAAAATGTACAAGTAAACCATTGGTTGTCAATTTTAAATTACTTTGAGAAAAGATAATACACACTGTCAGTATAAAATAGTCAAGCTGAGCAGAACTTGTTGTCTATGTACAGATTCTTCTGTAGATGGAGGAGCGCCAGAATAATTTAGGAAGATTATAACTTTGTCTTTGCTTGGGTGTAAGTGACTGTACAGGAAGGGAATGGACTCTTTGACCTGGTATTCAAGCCCTGGAAAAAAATGTACATGGCATTCTTTTTCCTGTGTAATAGTGAAATAACTGTGCTAAAAATACAGAACATTTTGTCTGTACACCGTAAATAGAGAGAAAGGGGAAAAAAGCCTCTGAAAATGTATTTGGCTTTTTGTCTTTCCCAAATGCTAAGTTTGGTACTGACGAGCATATACATTTTTTTTATTATGAATTAGATTAATAATTTTTATACAGGTTATGGATGTAATTATTTTGTCAACTCGGTTACTTATTAAAAAAAAAAAAAGGCTTAGGTGTTGTGTTTAAAGCATATTTCCACTTTTTCAGCCAATGGGATAACACCTATTTGTTACATGTTCTCTTAGAATAGCTTAAAAAAATGCTGCTTAAATATTGGTTGCTCTTTTTTGAAAGAGAGGTATTTTTCTATCATCTGAATTTTCCTCCAGAATGTAAGGGAGGAGGGGTTAATATGTACCACAATTAATCCTGTCTGTACTGTGCTACCTTATCTGTTCTAAACTAGATTTGAACAGTGTGTGTTCTAAGACAGGGTTAAAGATCTAGACGTATTGTATTTTAATTTGAGGAAGTCAGAGTATTCCTAGTCTTTCTATAGGGGCAGCCAGAGTTTCCTGTCACCTTGAAATTTTAGACATGCATTTGTAGTCTGTCCAAAGATATGCTCAACAGAGACATTTAAAGGTCAGGCTTTTTCTTTAAAAAATATATTTTTAGGTATGCTGTGTGAATGGGAACACATAAAGCTTGACATAGATGTCACCAGCACAACAAAGTAACGTTGAAATCAGAAAACGTCCATTTATTCACAAATGTTGTCACTCAGACAAACGCTTTTCGGGGACACGCAGGCTCTCTTCATCAGGCTTAGAAATGACAATGCAAGTTCAATATGAAAATTGTCATTTCTGAGCCTGATAAAGGCACCCTGTGTGGCCCCGAAAGCACTTGTCTGAGTGACATTTGTTAAAAAATTTACTTTTTCTGATTTCAATGTTACTTTGGTGTGTTGGTGACATCTCTATCAAGTTTGCTACTAAAGGTGCCACCGTGGTCACTACAAGCATCCAATCGCATCTCATTGGGGATATCTGGTAGGGAGTGCAGAAAGACACCTCTCCATTGTAGGAACACATAACAAAACGTATAGTAGGGTTTTCTCAAGTTTGACAGCAGAAGTGGAAATATGCCTTGAATCAAACATTCAGTATTGGTGTTAAAAATGAAGTCGAAAAAATGGCATAATAATGTGTTTAGTTTCTGTCACATATACCTCTATGGTGTCTGCTGTAAAAGGGTCCTGTTCTTGCCTGGAATATCAAATGCCACAGCAGCAGGTCTTAGTTTATTAGAAGTATGTGTGGCATAAAGCAACCAGTCATAAACTTCCTTTCATTTTTCAACCTGAATTGGAGAGGTCAGCTTTGATTTGTTGCCAAGACCAAACCAAGTATTTTAAGGCAAAGAACAGTGGTCAGTAATAAACATATAAAACGTTTATATCTAAAGCAGACATCATTCTGCTTTTGTGTGCTTTAGACAAAAAGAAAGCCAGTGCAAATGATATGTTTAAGATCCAAACATAGCTCCTCTCCCTTCCCACAGTAAATGTGCACATTTGCAGGAAACTCCACTGCAATGTTAAACCCAGGCTTTGCCTTTGTAAGGAGTAAAAAATAATCCAAATAAATATCATCTGATATCATGCAAGTTTATTTTCTTGGTTGAGGCAGGGCTTTGCTTCCTCATGTCAAGGCTGCCCTCTTGATAACTGGGGATTTGATATTTAGCAGGGTAGCGATCCAGAAACAGCAGGAATGGCAGAGAAAGAACAGGTACACTGAATTATTTAGGCAGAAGCAGCGAGATCCTTGCACTTCCAGTCCTTGGATACAGCTTTCTGTGCAGCAAGAAAGAAAGTGAGCAACACAGTATTTATATTACAAAATGTTAGCCCAAATCTCTTGAGTCTAGCAGTCAGAGGCAGCAGTGCCTTTGATAATCTCACACTGCAGATATACAGCTGTGGGGCTACAAAATGGTGATGCCAAGGCTCAGTCACATGTCACAAAGTGAACTGCTATTTATTTAGGAGAAAAATGTAAAAACTATTTTAGGAAACTACTTTTCACAATGATTATTTCTAGATGTCCCTAATGAGATAGAAAATCTTGTTTCAATGTTTAATTTAGGTCCACCTTATGAATTCCTTGCTATTTA